TAGCTACCACGGGAGCTGTAACTCCATCCCCAATTTTGAGGTCGTTCAGCGATTTCTTCACGTCAGCCATCACATTATCAACCCGATTGTACACTTGGTCGATTCGGGTTTCAGCTTCCGACAGGCGGTTGTCATATTGAGCAACCTTATCCTTCACCTCACTTATTTCTTTCCCGAAGGTAGCGTGAAGGTCCTTCATGAGAAGTATCTGCTCTTCCTTATCGCGTTTGAGCTGCTCTTCCAACCGACGGCCCTGTTCCTCCTGTTGGCGGGCTTGTTCCTCCTGTCCGCGCTGCAGCTGCTCTTCCAACCGACAAGCCTGTTCCTCCTGTCGGCGGGCCTGTTCCTCCTGTCGGCGAGCTTGTTCCTGCAGCATCATCATCAGAGTACCTAAGTCAGGTGCTGCAGATGCAGGAGCTGCTGACGGGCCGGACTCCGTGGTCGGCAACTGGCCTGCCGACGTCTGTGACGTTGCATCACCAAATCATCTCTGGTCCGTCTCCTGTTGGCGTTGACTTCGGGTACGGATACCCTCGGTGTCGTCTTTAGGTAAAATCGGCATATTTGATCCCACTTCTGACACCAATTGTTACGAGCTTGGGGTTCGAGACAATTAAAAACTGCCGATTGAATTACCAAAATTGACTATTTAATTACACAACACTAATTATAACTTAAAATCACACTAATAATAAAACACAGTTCGCCGTTATTTCGCTTCGAAGTATTCTCTTGTATCGCCAATTCAATACTGCCTCGGTCGTGGTCTATACCGGCCTTATATAGGGCCTCAGATAGTTTCCAGAATCTTCTACTGTAGCGACATCTAGAATGTTCGAGTACATATCGGTCCTGAAATTTCTGGAAGGATCTTGACTCTCCTAGTTCTGCTACTCGACACTAGAGGGCGCTAGTGTAACTAGTGTTGCCATGTACAATACATTAATAGTGGCGCGCAACAATATAGTAACAATAAATTCACATATAAAAATCTCAGCCACGGGGAACTTTATTTTTGTATACGCGGCAACACTGAATGGCGTCTTTCATATTTTGTAACTTATTTATGGCTCGTGTTATTTTATATTGAAATTTCGAAATTGTATGATACTTACTGATAGTAAGTGATCCCAGTGTCTTTCTTATTTCTTGTAGTATTATTTTTACACAGTTTCACTACGCAAACTGGTATTTTACTTCGAATTATGATCAAAATTTAATAAAATATTCAGTACATCCACATATATCGCCTGCAACGTGACTGGCTCGGGTACGCCGATTTCAGCGTAGTATTTGTTGCCGCAATTTACAAGACCGCCAGCGGTATCTAGTCTGAGCGCGCGAAGACCTATAATTAATCTAAGTTGTTTAGGTTACTTACTAATGGGTAAGGTATGTCATATTCAAAGATTTATTGTTATTCTATTGGGGGGGGGGGGGGGGTACATGTTTACTTTGTTCATTAATAAAGTAAATTGAATGTAGGTAATTTAATATTCACTTATGAAACTTGTCTTTTGTAATGCTACCAAGCCAGAATATAGAATAAAACACATTACATGCAACTTCGGGGAGTGATTTCTGCATGCCGAAATGTTTAGCCCTATATGTAGCGACCTCCGGACATTTTAGCAACACGTGGGCTGCCGTTTCTTCCTCCCCGATACATGCTTTTCACAGAGGACTATCTGTAACACCTATGGTAAAGAAATGTTTGTTAAAGATGCCATGTCCTGTGATAGAACTTGTTACTATCCTGATCTGCGGCTTCTACTACATACCAGTGAACGAACGTTACCAAAGGTGATTGGTACCGGCCCTATAGTGGCCAGAGCCGACCCCCTTCTGGCCAATTCTTCAGAGCTGTAGAATAGCTTACCTTTTAGATTGTTTAGGCCTTTGATTTTACCGGCGCAAACCAATGACTTCTGGATTAAGGCTATGGCCGTCCTTTGAGCCTCCAACCAATTGTGTAATTGAGCCTCCAACCAATTGTGTAATTGAGCCGACGCAGTTTTGCTGTGGTGGAGGTTGGCCTGCACTAGGCTAGTTTTGGACGAAGGGCACGCCATCATTGATCGCGTCCTCCCCGTCCCCGCCCAAAAATAAGCCTGCCAGTAGATCTCAGGTCTCATCGTCAGCTACCGAATCGGAAGTGGTCGGCAAAATGCAATCGTCTTCGTCACTCAATGAGCTGCCGCTGAGCCCGATCTCTACTGGGGGCTTCGGCTCAGTTGTGCAGAAAGTTTTTCACTGGACTTGACATCCAGTGATTCCGCTGTACTGGTAACCATGGTTCCGGTATCCATGACTTCCGGGTTGTTCTCTGCCTCTTTGCTTGGTGGAGTATCAAAGAATTTACCTCCACGACCATTGGAATTTTACGTGCACCGCCCCACATACACATGCGGGACGGTGTCCGGCTTCCATCAGGTTCGCGATCCTCTGGCACCGAAACAACGAGGAACTACCCGTACGTCTGCTTATCTGCCTTGAGTAGCAGCCAGTCCCTGATGTTAATCCAGCGGTTCTGATACGCCAGCACACGACAAATGTCGCGTGAGTCTTTATAGACTCCCTGGGCATCAGGGATAAGGATACCACATTTGACTCTTTGTGGTATCTCCGACTGTTTCTTTATGATCAGCGAGGTGTTGGATTTAAGGTCGAGGGTACCAATATTCCCCTTCAACCAATCCAGAGCTTTCTGATCGTCACACCACAGTTTCAGTACACCCTCCGTGTAAGCAGGTTTGCCTCTAAAATTTGGGCCCGACGCATCAGGCTCCTGGCTACTCCAGGCCTCGCTGATCATATTCCTCTGTATTGCCACGAGGGTATCGTCAGCTACTGCCTTCATTATGTGACCTGAACGCGCACACGTTAATGCCACACCCAAATCTGCTTTAGCAGCGGAAGCGTAGCTTGTTCTTGCAGCCTTTGGTTGCTGTTCGAGTCGCACTTTTTTGTGCTCGCCTCTGGGCGAGGTCCAGCATCCTTTTGGGTGCTCTTGCTTTCTTCCCTGGACGATTGGCTGCTTGCTGCTTCCTGGTGGATATCTTAGAGCTTGGCCCCGCGGCCGCGACTTCCACTTGGGCTAGATGGTACTGTCCGTGGAATCATCGGTTTAATGGCGGTTCCCCCTTGTTCATTACTTCTGGTAAGCACCTCTAACACCTCTCCCTCTTTCCAACTGGGCCTTAAATTTTCCATATCTATTTTATGTTTAAAATTCGTCCCCCCGGCTTCCCACGCTCCATGAAGCCCGCACCTTTGGGAACGCCCTACTTTAAAAATAATTTCAGGCGTTAGGATTACCGGGGAAATATAGGGACGCGAAGTTGACTCACAGCGCGACATCGGGAGCTCGATCCAGCTGGTAGTTGGGGCTGAAAAGGACCATCCCCACCACTCGAATAAACTGTCACTTGCTCAGTCAGCATGGCCTTTACCACCACCCAACCCCTTTTCAGGAAAACTAGACAGACCCCACATTCCTCGCCTGCGACCCCCTGACGGGGCGCTTGGCCATTTCTCTCTCTGTGGCTAGTAGATAGGTCCACCGTTTAGCTTGAAATCCGGACCAAAGAGGGCGTGTTGCCACTCGCCACTATATACCCCAGCGACGATCGGCTCAACCCTCCAGGACTCCTTCATCCCCGCGTACGGCGCTCGACTGCGCAGGTCTTAGCGCAGGTAGGTGTGTTAGTCCACCGAATACACCCACTCTCTCCGCGGAACCACTCCTCCTTTCTCATCCGGGCTTGGGACCGGCAATGGCGGGCAGAGCAGTTATCAACAAGAAGTAAAATTTTTCGTTCCTTCTTAATTCTGCATCCCCCTTTCGCAATTCTTCTTCAAAAAGTTGACTGGTTATCCAAGCTGATTTATTAGCTGTATATTTCACTGGCAATTTTTAACGTTCTTAAAACACCGCGGATTTTTCGATTTGCCTATGACCATCACCTTTTTTTTCTGTGCCATCCATATTAGCAGCCACAAGCACTGTAATACGCTCCTTGGAGAGCTTTCCTCCCACACACTTCCCATTTAAATTTCAGTTGTATCTGGGGTCAACTTATAGAAAATTCCTGCTTCATCAGCATTAAAAATGTCACTTGGGGCGTATTTTTCTATCAATTTTGACCAATTTTTTTTTGACTGTAATTTAATTTTTTGTTTTGATGTCATATTACTGAGCTATCTTTTAATTGAATAAAATATTTATGATTTGTATTTTTTATATGGCACCATGAGGTAAAGCTATTATCCTATCTCTTGCTATAGTTTTGCAAGAGGCGACTTGGGGATCACTTAATTAATTTTTTTATAGAAGAAAAGGTGATAAATGAGCACAGTCTACCTGATGATTAGTGGAAGCTATGGTCCATTGACCCACAGCTAAAAATTCAATTTAACATAATTGAAATGTATTTTAAATGGTGTATGTACTTTGTGTTTGGGCATTGGGAATGCGCTGGTTTCAACTTTAATAATGTTCAATGATGTTGTGGGGATGAATCTTGTCTTGTGGCTGTCATTTCTTTATTTATAATAAATAAATAATTTATTTGTATAAATTAAGTTTATAAAAATATTTTTCATAGCTAACACTAAAAAAAAGAAAGATAATGATTTCATCTACATTGTTATTAGAGTTAACAATTTGTTAAATAATGTTATTATATTGTAATAATAATAATTATTGGATGGAGTGACAACATGGTAAGACATGCAGGAAGTCGATAGATGTAGGTGGCTCAAGACTGTGCTTTGTGGCATTCCTTAGGATTCATGTTCAGCTGTGGATTTGTGAAGTTTTAATGATGATAAATGGTATATAAAGAAAATTCCGTAGCATTTGAAAACACTAATTATGATGATAATGATGAATAATGATTAATTATAATATGAAACATAGCATTTAAAGAAATAAAATAAAAGTTTAACTGTATAATATATCAAAAATGTTTAATATTAAACTGTTTTACTCATTACAGATTTTTATGCTGGACCAGGGTCAACTCCAACATCATGTGCATCATCTCCACGCGGAGAAGAGCCTGCTTCCCCTCATGGTGCTGTGGCACAACCAGCTTTTTTTCATCATCAACCATATAGTAGGCCATTCTTTTCATCCGGGCGAAGAGGTCCAGGCAGGCCAAGGAAAGAGGGCGCTAAGTTAGCCCGCGAAGGCAAGATTGTAAGAAGGTAAAAAGTTTGTTACATTCAGCTTTTTTTATTTGTGTTGTGACAATTTATTACAAAATCAAGTTGGAAGAATAAAGATGTATTCCTTTTTAAATTAAATCTGAAGCAATTACTATTTAAATAATTTTGTTTGCAGTGCAAGTATATTTTTTTGTTGCTTGCACACAATGTGTAAAGATTATTTTCATCATGTTAGTATTTGGTGAACCATTTTGATGTGACATTGTTAAATAGTAACATTTTTTTAAATTTTCATCTAAACCCATATTTTATTTTATTAAGGATAACCCAAAGACATTTAAGTAGTAGTAGTAGTAATAGACCGGACACCAGTAGCAAAATTGTCGTCTGTAACTTATGTCCTATAGGATATATCTCCGATTTTTGTCATTTAGTCTTAGTGACATCGTCAAAAAGTCAAGACGCATTCATTTCATATATTTAAAAAATATTTTTAAAGAAAATATGCTCGGTTGTGCATTAAGATATTGTAAGTCACGCTTTATTATCGTAAGTATAACGTATATTTGCCGAATAATCTTTAAATTTTATTATTTCTAGTAGATTGTTCTAGAAAATTTATTTTTATTGTACTAAGCGCCCTCTGTTATCCAGTAGTGTCACTATTTATTTAAAGTTAGTGATTGACGACGTTTATCGATTGGGGTTATCGATAAAAATAATATACAGGATGCCGATTTAATCATTTACATTATTTAAGAAGGTAAAACAGTCAACGATACTGTACCCATACCAACAAAAATGAGTAGCATATACCAACTATGCTAAGTAGCCTACTTTATGTGGAAGGGTGGGAAATTTTTTTTTTGGCATGATGATGAGATTTTCTGTGTTGCTTATGAACATGCTGAGGATACTTGCTGTGTTGATGTTCAGCAATACAGCAAGTCTTCTCTTTTACATACCGGGTTTCATTGTCTAGTGGTATTCAAGGACAAAACCATTATAGATCCTGGCTTACCGTGATAGAAGAGTGATATAGGCTTGTTACATTAAAAACAATTTGTACTGTTAAAAATATTAGATGCAAGAAGTTGTAGGTTAAGCCTGAGTTAGAAAATAAGGTAAAACTTAAAATAACAATTTTTATTGATGTGAGTGGTGTCTTTAAGTACTGCAGCCGATGAAACGTGAAAAATCGTGAAACGGTTTTTAAGTTCAGTGTTTTCCTAAAATATTTTATATTTGAATTGTATTTTTGTAATAGAAACGAATTTAAAAACATAGAGGCGCTCTCTTATTGGATTTGGTGTTTCTCGATGTATCTTTAACGCTGACAGATCAATCATATGCTATTATTATAGCAGCTAATGGACCGAATGACGTCATGCCACCAAGGTGGTAACCAAAGTGACTGCTGTTCGAATTGATTCTTAGTTATTGGAAATTAAATATTTTATTTCATGACACTAAAGGGGCGTAAAAAGTTAATATGATTATTTTCGTGTGACGGAAGTCATGATAAATATATTTATACAATAAAACAATCATGTATATTCCCTATTATTATATCGAAAAGCATTTCAAACTTAGTAATCTTCAACAACATTGTCGATACTTTGATATCGAAATGGTAACATTCCTAAAACGAGGTTATATTTATTAGCGTCACCTACTGGGGAATAGCTAAAATATTGTCTTAATAAATGCTTAGCGTTGTTTTGCTATCTTTAGCATATAAGCATATATATAAGTAAAATAAAACAAATTAATGAAAAAGATAAGGGACTTATCTATACAAATAAATAAAACTGAAGTGTCTGTTTGTAATGTCAAAATAACAGCTTTTTACTAAATGTATATGAAAGTATATACGGTACTTATAACAAAAACACAATTTTAAAAATTTTTGTCTGACCGATTTCGACGGGAATTTCATTGGCTGATAGCTGAAGTTATAAAGAGTAACTTAGGCTACTTATATTTTACAAAAATAATAAGGGTTCCGCGCATCATAATTAAAACCCTAAATTACACGCGGGCGAAGTCGCGGGGAACAGCTAGTATATAATATAAGGATAACCAAAGTATAAGTAAAATAAAACAAACTAATGAAAAAGATAAAGGACTTACACATAATATAATTTTGTACCAAGAATTAGGATCTGCTTCACATTGCTGCTTTAAATTCTTTGGTGTGCTCTGCTCATATACATTTTTTATTGTTTACTAGCTGTGTAATTTAGGGTTTTGATGATATTGCGCAGAACCCTAATTATTTTCTAAAATAAAAGTAAGTTAAGAAATTCCCGTCAATATCAGTCCAGCCATTTCGGAGATTAGCCGGAACTGACAGACAAAAATTTTAAAAATTGTGTTTTTGTTATATGTAAGTACTGTATATACTGTCATATGCATTTAATAAAAAGCTGTTATTTTGACATTACAAACAGACGCCTCAATTTTATTTATTTATATAGATTATTTAAGGAAAAAATGATGACTGACACTAAGAAACATGCCTGAACGTTCCCTGTAAAAATAATAATACATTTTTGTTATTCATCAGCAAGAATTGACAATTTCAGCGTGAGCCCCTACTTTGATAGCCCTGCAGTAACATTGTAATTGAAAAATATTACTATCCATGTGGGTAAAGAATGGGATTAGAAATGGGAGCTCATCAAGTCTTAATTGTGCATACCCTTGATAGAAAAAACTCTAGTAATTTCAATTAACTTAAATTTTATATTAGAAAAGATGTTATATAAATTAAAATGTTACAATGCTTTATATTTATTCATAGTAATTTAATAGTTTAGGCTACTAAATAAAACTATTTAATATTTAAAATAAATCGATATTGAACAAGTTATATTTTCTTACTCTAATCAAAAGATACAAATAATTATTATGTTTTGTTCATAGGTATAGGGGAAATCCAGGTTCCGTAAGAGGTGCAAAAAGGCACCGAAGTAGTCGTGATGATGCTTTAGATGAAATTATGGATGAAGATGACTTTACAATGCCAGCACCCGAAGATCCACCATATATGCCTGAAAAATGGTAAGTCATTAATTTATACATGTGTAAGACAAAATAAACATAAATGTGACTGTATGATATGCCAGTAGGGTGTTATTTAATATTGATAGATATTTATATTTATCCAATCTTTTCATAAGTACAACAGAACAACTATAATATAATAATAATAATAATATAGAAATAACCAATGAATAGTGTGTTAGTTAACTTGTCACCCCATCCCGCCTTCGCTCATCAGTTTGTCAAATGATTTATGATAGGAATAATGACTTCATATTGATACAATTTCAATGTTTTGGTTAAAGAGAAAGTCATATAATTGTGGTCACTTTCACCCAGACATACCTACTTGTTGAAATATTCTTTATTAGACTAATAAGGCAGAAATTTAACTGACTGTTAATTGATAAAACTGAAATTGTAGGCCTGGAAAAATTTGTGCACTTTGTAATCTAAGTGAGAAAAGTCAACTTGGGCAGGGAGAAATGAGGCAAATAACATGTAACATTGAAGAGGTCGATGGCAGTTCAACACCAACTGTAACTAATTCTGGAGGCACCACCCCCACAAGTGTCTCAACACCAAGCACACCAGCATTACCCATGCTTCATGGCCTATCATCTCCACCTCCAGAGCCTGTTGACCCAATGCAACAACATTTAGTTCTACCACTGAGTAGGCGACAGAAGGCTTTTAATAAATGCAAGTGAGTACTGAATCTTTATACATTGGTTTGCTGTAGCATATCTAATATGGAAATAATCTGTACATTAATTTTAATTTTGAGATTGGTATACATAGTACATAGACTGCATACATATGTATAACTTAATATTTCTGGTATTAGATTACCCACAGTTTCATTTCAGTTTGATGGGTATAGATATACTTTAATTATGGGCTTATTTGCTGGAAGTTGCATGCAGGATCAGAGGCAGTGCTAATCCCTTACCTTATAAAGCCGCGTATCGATTACGCGCTCCAAGAGGTCGAACATTGACGCGCGCTCCAGCCGCGCGAAATGGATACCGACTTGGAACGCGTGCCAAATTGTTCGTTGGAACGCTCAAAAATGGAGCATGCCGCTCCATCTGGTGTCGGTTTTTTACCGCGTTGAATTATAAATAATAGTATAAATTAAAGTAGTTGAGTTCTGGCGCGCGCGCCAGTTGGGACGGTTGTTTTCATTATTCGTGTGTTCGTTGCGTTGCGAGCTATGAATAACCAAAGTTGCCAGAAATTGATAAAATTATATGGTTCAAAAGAACTATGTGGAATAGCAAAAGTAATCGATATGTGGCCTTACGCGCTCCTAGCGCGTGTGCCATGAATGAGCGCGCGGCAACCGTTCCAGTGTTTGACCGTTTAACGTGGATGTCGGTCGTGTACGGGCAGCTGCCGCTTTCATAGTTCCATGCATCTTCTGTGAGCGCTTCATTATGATAAATACTACTTTTGCTATTTCACAACAGATCTTTTAAACTATATAATTGTATTAATTTACGGCAACTTTGGTTGTCCATAGCTCGGAACGCAACGATCACACGAAAAATGAAAATAATCGTCCCAATTGGCGCGCGCGCCTAAACTGAAACTACTTTGATATGCGGTAAAAAACCGACACCAGATGGAGCGGCGCGCTCCACGTTCGAGCGCTCCAAAGAACAATTTGGCGCACGTTTCAAGGCGGTATCGTTTTGCCCGGATGGAGCGTACGCCAATGTTCAACTTCTTGGAGCGCATAATCGATACGCGGCTTAACAGATGAACTGTTAATTTGTTTTTCCACTGTCATGAAAAATTAACAAGGTACACTTAATTCTAGGACACCGCTATATAATATGGAGCACACTGATGAACTCTCCATTATTGGATACTCGGAAATTCTTGAACTTACAGCAGTTGTTTCTTCTGGATCTATGTATGTCCATCGTTGCTGTCTAGAATTTAGCCCACCATTTCAGGAACAGGTAAAGTATCTTGTAATTTTTAACCTATTAATAGTTTTCTCAAGGCACATTTACAAAATGTTTATAAATTAAGGAAGGTTTTTAATTGTGATTAGACATTTGATTCTTGAACAGAACGACAACTTTACGTGTTTGTCCTTGTGCTATTTATAAATGTATGCTATAGAAGAAAATCTAAGTAACACTCTTGTGACCTATAAATTTATATACTTTCCTGAATATTTGTTTCCAATATGTTAAAAATATGAAATAATTTTAACAGGTTGCGGCAGCCTCTAATTCCGATGAAGATAAAAGTCAATTAGAGGAAGCCAGAGTTAAAGGCATTGTAACTAATGCCTTGTCAAGGAAGTGTGCATTTTGTCAAAGACATGGTGCCAGCATTCCGTGTAAGGTAGGTTGTAGGTTGTTATGAAGGAAGGTATAGTCATTTCTATGATTTTATTGGACATAGAATTGAAATTTGTTTTGGTCTTCATAATAAATGAGCTAAATCTTACATCTCTTATGTCTTTCCACCACCTCATTCCATAGATTTCATATTTCAAAAGAGGCGGCTATAGTAAATACCAGAGAGGTCTCATAGGCTTTTAATAAATAGCAATAATCACCTTTTGTCACATTCACATTTCGTCTTGTGAGTGTCTTCAGAAGCCACTATTTGAAATTCCAGTAAGATCTATGTTGGGCTGGGACTTTTGGGTTCTATCTTTACAATAAAGAATGTGCCAAATATGTTTCTTGCTTAGCAAATCATAAAAGGCGACTGACGGGATATTCATTATGTAGGTGATGTAGCCCATACAACTTATAACTTTTAACCAATGCTTGAATACATTCCCACTTGGTGGTAAGAGGTGATGAAGCCCTGCATGGTAAATCGCACTGTATTAGCGTAACAAAGCCTGTTCACTCGTGACTTCATGACAACCAGATTGTAATGGGACGAAAAGACACCACGGCACATTATTTCACTCATTTGCTGTGAGTATTATAGAAAGATTCATTGAAAGCAACCCGTTTGGTTCAAATACATGGAATATTGACTACAAGTGCGTGAAAACCCGCGACCGCCTGGTTGTCGAATGGAGGAAAAGGAATCAAGGAATTAAGGCCTGCAATTCCTACATACACTCTCTGAAATGCATACTATAAAATATCGAAAAACTAGTTACTCTGTAACTGGGCTGACAGACTGAAAGAGTCTATTAGTAAGTCTCTCCACTGGGTCCAACGTTGCTAGGTGGCATTTTGAAACATTACCATTTACTGTATTTACTCATTGTTTTTGGCTAAATATGGTCCAAGTAGATAGCTGCTCCTTGGATTTGGCCTACCCCCTCGGCGATTATAGGCGTTACATTATGTATATAATGTCATCCAATAACTGCGTATTCTGGCAAGAGCCCTGACTGGACACTTGTCTTAAAAAGCACATGTCCATCATGGGACTAAGCAACTCAAGGATGTGCCGGTTCTATTCTTTAACGGAAAAAACGCCTCTACACATCCTAACTGATTGTGAACCTTTAATGCGCAAACGTAACAGAAGTAAGAAGTGAAATTGCTCACAGCTAAGAGGCTATAGGCCACAGTATCCACTTACCATGAGGTGGACTGTCTGTTCTTTTGTCACCCTTATTCTATAAACTCCTATTCATTGAAGACATAGGGCTTAGTAGTCAACTTTAGCCATAGCATCGATGACAATAGATCTTTTAAGTCGCAGTGATACTGGTTTTTCTAAACCTGCATAGCTGCCCGCACAAATAAAAAAATGGCTTCCCGCACAAATAAAAAAAATGTCATTCAATAGATAGTGATAAAACAGACATAGAATACTCAGAGCGGCGATGAGGAGCACCGTCAAAGGTACCGAGATGTCAGATACTATGATGGCCAATTCGCCTCCCAAACGTAGTAGTAATTAAGGTAAATCCTCGCTACTGCGGGAGAGGTCCTTGTCCAGCTGTGGACTTTTACAGGGTGATGAAGACGATAATCACCTCAAATATCTCAGTTACCACAGGTACAAAAATACCAATCCTGAAACAAATATGACATTATAGTAAGTCACAAAACATGTCTCAGAAGTTTCTTCATTTACATGAATCCTTTAAGGTTTTTGTACATTTTTATTCATATTATTTATGTTGTTTCCAGATGAGCTGCAGTAAATACTTTCATTTGCCCTGTGTCCTTGCATCCGGAGGGTTTATGGATTTTCATACTAAGTCTTCTTTCTGTAAAGATCATTTATACCAAGTCCCCCTTGTGTGTAAGTATTATCTCTTTAACTACTGTTGCTGTAAAAAAAGTAATTGATTTACTGGAAGTTGCCTATGTATTTCATATTGTTTGAATCTTTTAATAAATTAAAATGAATGTACTTTGCAGGTACTGCGGACATTGACTGCAGAACTTGTAGGACTATTGGCGATATTTCCAACCTCATGACGTGCGTAACTTGCGGCGGTCATTTTCACGGCACGTGCGTTGGCCTGGCACAGTTGCCTGGTAAGTTTATTTTGAATCTCTAATAAGTGGTATGGTTTTTTTAAAACATAATCGCGTTCATAGGGATTAAAGAGATGAAGTAAATAATAAAATCATTATATTATATAAAAAAGTTGTTTGTATGTAACAAATATGGTAAATATATGTTTGTTAAAAGAGGTGTGTCCTGTAATAGCACTTGTTGCTATTCTGCAGGGCCTTCTTGGTTTGCCTACATTTTTCTAGATTTTTCCAATGTAACACATTTTATAGATTAGTATAGTGCATAAGTACCAGTGAATGAATATTCCCAAAGGGAATCAGTAAGATCGGTTCCGGTCCTATGTCGACCAGAGCCGAACCTCCCCTGGCTAGTTTGTCTGCTGCATTGTTGGCTCTGAATCTTTTGTGTCCTTTGATCCATTCTTGAGTCAGTATATACACACCTCATTTAGTTGTTCATGGCATTCATATAATAGCTCCGAGTTTATCATATTGCAAACTTAGACCCTGTAAAGCCACTATGATGTTGTTCAGTATTCTAATGGAGAAGACTTCTTTTGTAAGCGTTTTTAAAGAGATGTTGTTGCCCAATATTGTTTTTTTTCCCTCAGTCGCTTTTAACAATATCCATGGAACAATATGGGGTAGTGGATATTCTTACACGAAGTTATTAAAGTTTTTTTATATCATAAAAAGTAGGCAAGAAACTTGAAGTATTAGATAGATATAATCATTAATTCATTGTAGCCTCATAATTACACTGCTGTACATAGCTTATTCATGCATAGCAACATTTGCTATAGTGTCACAGTTGTCAGGTTGGTTGGCAGTCACAGTTTTTTTTAATTTAGATTCTGCTACCTATTTCCTGCTTTTTTTCTCTGTCGCCTTCCGATACCAGGGGGATGTAAAATATTATGTTTTGTGTGAATTAACAATGTTATATCTGAATAGTGAAATATCGTTTACATTACTAGAAAATTGGTTTGGAAGAGATTGTAGAGTATTTTTAAATGTAACCTGTATGCAATGTTATTGTGTGCAGTGTGAGTGTATAGTATAGTATAGTATAGTATACGCTATGTGGTTGGTGCGGTGGGGTGCGGCAGGCGTGCGCGCGGGGTGGGCGTGCCGCGCGTGCCGCGTGTGCCAGGTGTGCCGCGGGCGCGCGCCGGCGGGCGACGCGGCCGCGCAGCCCGACGCGCGCGCCGTGGCCTGCGAGCACTGCGACAAGCTCTACCACGCCGCCTGCCTGCGCCCCGTCATGGCCACCGTGCCCAAGTACGGCTGGAAGTGCAAGGTGCGTCGCACACGCTCGCACACGCATACACACCCACACACAAATACCACCACTCATACACATATTACACAATTTTATAACATACAATTTCATTAAACAAAATTAATTTATGACTACTGTATCAGCAACACACGCAGGCTTTTAATTTTTACATGGTATAACTACATATGCTACAGTTGTATTATGACTGCAGCATGCATAGGCTTGCTTGAATGACAGTAAAAAAGCCACAATAGAAGCAAAATGTTGCTTTATTTGAAGATCTTTTTATTTGCAAAGGGAAATTCTATCTTCATTCTCAGGATATTTTTATATTGATTTTTTTTAATAATAGGTATAAATGTGCATGAACACATTCATTTCACTAACCTTTAGATAGGCTTATTTTTCATATTTAAAAAACGAGTAAATTATGGCAATTTAAAGAAAAGTATAACTTATACATGGTACAGCCATGATATAGCTATATTGTGGTGGTTCGTCTCGAATGGGCAAGGACCACACTCACAGAATATCAGCGTAAAATAGCAGCTTAATGCTGCTGTATTTCATATAGTAAGTGTAGAGAACTAAAGACTTTTTTACTGGAAATGAGACATTCCATCTTAGTCCTCAGAGGTGATCCACTTACCATCAGATAGAATATGTTCATTTATCGGTTACCTTATAGACCTATAGACAGTGACAAAATAACAAAGTCATATAATATACTAATATATAAAGAAAAAAAAAATAGTAAACAAATTTTGGCAATAATTAGAAACACTTCGAAAACACTAACTACACTACATATGTCTAAAATTGACTAAAATATGATTTACTATAATGTCAGCTGTCACAATAGCGTCGATAAAGCATCCCCTCTTTGACCTTTTATTATTTGATTAACCGATGAAGAGCTATTGTATCATAGCCATATATGCAAACAAGGCTGTAGTTCTTGAGGTATAAGAAAGTGACCATATAACCGTCACGTACAGTATTAGCATATTGTATAGGCATGTGTGGACAGTGGATAGTGTGCAGTGGGCTTATGCTGAGGCTCGTGCGTGTGTTGTCGGCAGTGCTGTCGCGTGTGCTCGGACTGCGGCGCGCGGTCGCCGGGCGCGGGCCCGTCGTCGCGCTGGCACGCGCACTACACGGTGTGCGACTCGTGCTACCAGCAGCGCAACAAGGGCTCCTTCTGCCCGCTGTGCCGCCGCGCCTACCGCGCCGCCGCCTACCGCGACATGATCCGCTGCACCGCCTGCCGGAGGTACTGTCATATGTACTCCACACTTGTGCACCCCTACTCGCTATCGCTGGCACGCGCACTACACGGTGTGCGACTCGTGCTACCAGCAGCGCAACAAGGGCTCCTTCTGCCCGCTGTGCCGCCGCGCCTACCGCGCCGCCGCCTACCGCGACATGATCCGCTGCACCGCCTGCCGGAGGTACTGTCATATGTACTCCACACTTGTGCACCCCTACTCGCTATCGCTGGCACGCGCACTACACGGTGTGCGACTCGTGCTACCAGCAGCGCAACAAGGGCTCCTTCTGCCCGCTGTGCCGCCGCGCCTACCGCGCCGCCGCCTACCGCGACATGATCCGCTGCACCGCCTGCCGGAGGTACTGTCATATGTACTCCACACTTGTGCACCCCTACTCGCTATCGCTGGCACGCGCACTACACGGTGTGCGACTCGTGCTACCAGCAGCGCAACAAGGGCTCCTTCTGCCCGCTGTGCCGCCGCGCCTACCGCGCCGCCGCCTACCGCGACATGATCCGCTGCACCGCCTGCCGGAGGTACTGTCATATGTACTCCACACTTGTGCACCCCTACTCGCTATCGCTGGCACGCGCACTACACGGTGTGCGACTCGTGCTACCAGCAGCGCAACAAGGGCTCCTTCTGCCCGCTGTGCCGCCGCGCCTACCGCGCCGCCGCCTACCGCGACATGATCCGCTGCACCGCCTGCCGGAGGTACTGTCATATGTACTCCACACTTGTGCACCCCTACTCGCTATCGCTGGCACGCGCACTACACGGTGTGCGACTCGTGCTACCAGCAGCGCAACAAGGGCTCCTTCTGCCCGCTGTGCCGCCGCGCCTACCGCGCCGCCGCCTACCGCGACATGATCCGCTGCACCGCCTGCCGGAGGTACTGTCATATGTACTCCACACTTGTGCACCCCTACTCGCTATCGCTGGCACGCGCACTACACGGTGTGCGACTCGTGCTACCAGCAGCGCAACAAGGGCTCCTTCTGCCCGCTGTGCCGCCGCGCCTACCGCGCCGCCGCCTACCGCGACATGATCCGCTGCACCGCCTGCCGGAGGTACTGTCATATGTACTCCACACTTGTGCACCCCTACTCGCTATCGCTGGCACGCGCACTACACGGTGTGCGACTCGTGCTACCAGCAGCGCAACAAGGGCTCCTTCTGCCCGCTGTGCCGCCGCGCCTACCGCGCCGCCGCCTACCGCGACATGATCCGCTGCACCGCCTGCCGGAGGTACTGTCATATGTACTCCACACTTGTGCACCCCTACTCGCTATCGCTGGCACGCGCACTACACGGTGTGCGACTCGTGCTACCAGCAGCGCAACAAGGGCTCCTTCTGCCCGCTGTGCCGCCGCGCCTACCGCGCCGCCGCCTACCGCGACATGATCCGCTGCACCGCCTGCCGGAGGTACTGTCATATGTACTCCACACTTGTGCACCCCTACTCGCTATCGCTGGCACGCGCACTACACGGTGTGCGACTCGTGCTACCAGCAGCGCAACAAGGGCTCCTTCTGCCCGCTGTGCCGCCGCGCCTACCGCGCCGCCGCCTACCGCGACATGATCCGCTGCACCGCCTGCCGGAGGTACTGTCATATGTACTCCACACTTGTGCACCCCTACTCGCTATCGCTGGCACGCGCACTACACGGTGTGCGACTCGTGCTACCAGCAGCGCAACAAGGGCTCCTTCTGCCCGCTGTGCCGCCGCGCCTACCGCGCCGCCGCCTACCGCGACATGATCCGCTGCACCGCCTGCCGGAGGTACTGTCATATGTACTCCACACTTGTGCACCCCTACTCGCTATCGCTGGCACGCGCACTACACGGTGTGCGACTCGTGCTACCAGCAGCGCAACAAGGGCTCCTTCTGCCCGCTGTGCCGCCGCGCCTACCGCGCCGCCGCCTACCGCGACATGATCCGCTGCACCGCCTGCCGGAGGTACTGTCATATGTACTCCACACTTGTGCACCCCTACTCGCTATCGCTGGCACGCGCACTACACGGTGTGCGACTCGTGCTACCAGCAGCGCAACAAGGGCTCCTTCTGCCCGCTGTGCCGCCGCGCCTACCGCGCCGCCGCCTACCGCGACATGATCCGCTGCACCGCCTGCCGGAGGTACTGTCATATGTACTCCACACTTGTGCACCCCTACTCGCTATCGCTGGCACGCGCACTACACGGTGTGCGACTCGTGCTACCAGCAGCGCAACAAGGGCTCCTTCTGCCCGCTGTGCCGCCGCGCCTACCGCGCCGCCGCCTACCGCGACATGATCCGCTGCACCGCCTGCCGGAGGTACTGTCATATGTACTCCACACTTGTGCACCCCTACTCGCTATCGCTGGCACGCGCACTACACGGTGTGCGACTCGTGCTACCAGCAGCGCAACAAGGGCTCCTTCTGCCCGCTGTGCCGCCGCGCCTACCGCGCCGCCGCCTACCGCGACATGATCCGCTGCACCGCCTGCCGGAGGTACTGTCATATGTACTCCACACTTGTGCACCCCTACTCGCTATCGCTGGCACGCGCACTACACGGTGTGCGACTCGTGCTACCAGCAGCGCAACAAGGGCTCCTTCTGCCCGCTGTGCCGCCGCGCCTACCGCGCCGCCGCCTACCGCGACATGATCCGCTGCACCGCCTGCCGGAGGTACTGTCATATGTACTCCACACTTGTGCACCCCTACTCGCTATCGCTGGCACGCGCACTACACGGTGTGCGACTCGTGCTACCAGCAGCGCAACAAGGGCTCCTTCTGCCCGCTGTGCCGCCGCGCCTACCGCGCCGCCGCCTACCGCGACATGATCCGCTGCACCGCCTGCCGGAGGTACTGTCATATGTACTCCACACTTGTGCACCCCTACTCGCTATCGCTGGCACGCGCACTACACGGTGTGCGACTCGTGCTACCAGCAGCGCAACAAGGGCTCCTTCTGCCCGCTGTGCCGCCGCGCCTACCGCGCCGCCGCCTACCGCGACATGATCCGCTGCACCGCCTGCCGGAGGTACTGTCATATGTACTCCACACTTGTGCACCCCTACTCGCTATCGCTGGCACGCGCACTACACGGTGTGCGACTCGTGCTACCAGCAGCGCAACAAGGGCTCCTTCTGCCCGCTGTGCCGCCGCGCCTACCGCGCCGCCGCCTACCGCGACATGATCCGCTGCACCGCCTGCCGGAGGTACTGTCATATGTACTCCACACTTGTGCACCCCTACTCGCTATCGCTGGCACGCGCACTACACGGTGTGCGACTCGTGCTACCAGCAGCGCAACAAGGGCTCCTTCTGCCCGCTGTGCCGCCGCGCCTACCGCGCCGCCGCCTACCGCGACATGATCCGCTGCACCGCCTGCCGGAGGTACTGTCATATGTACTCCACACTTGTGCACCCCTACTCGCTATCGCTGGCACGCGCACTACACGGTGTGCGACTCGTGCTACCAGCAGCGCAACAAGGGCTCCTTCTGCCCGCTGTGCCGCCGCGCCTACCGCGCCGCCGCCTACCGCGACATGATCCGCTGCACCGCCTGCCGGAGGTACTGTCATATGTACTCCACACTTGTGCACCCCTACTCGCTATCGCTGGCACGCGCACTACACGGTGTGCGACTCGTGCTACCAGCAGCGCAACAAGGGCTCCTTCTGCCCGCTGTGCCGCCGCGCCTACCGCGCCGCCGCCTACCGCGACATGATCCGCTGCACCGCCTGCCGGAGGTACTGTCATATGTACTCCACACTTGTGCACCCCTACTCGCTATCGCTGGCACGCGCACTACACGGTGTGCGACTCGTGCTACCAGCAGCGCAACAAGGGCTCCTTCTGCCCGCTGTGCCGCCGCGCCTACCGCGCCGCCGCCTACCGCGACATGATCCGCTGCACCGCCTGCCGGAGGTACTGTCATATGTACTCCACACTTGTGCACCCCTACTCGCTATCGCTGGCACGCGCACTACACGGTGTGCGACTCGTGCTACCAGCAGCGCAACAAGGGCTCCTTCTGCCCGCTGTGCCGCCGCGCCTACCGCGCCGCCGCCTACCGCGACATGATCCGCTGCACCGCCTGCCGGAGGTACTGTCATATGTACTCCACACTTGTGCACCCCTACTCGCTATCGCTGGCACGCGCACTACACGGTGTGCGACTCGTGCTACCAGCAGCGCAACAAGGGCTCCTTCTGCCCGCTGTGCCGCCGCGCCTACCGCGCCGCCGCCTACCGCGACATGATCCGCTGCACCGCCTGCCGGAGGTACTGTCATATGTACTCCACACTTGTGCACCCCTACTCGCTATCGCTGGCACGCGCACTACACGGTGTGCGACTCGTGCTACCAGCAGCGCAACAAGGGCTCCTTCTGCCCGCTGTGCCGCCGCGCCTACCGCGCCGCCGCCTACCGCGACATGATCCGCTGCACCGCCTGCCGGAGGTACTGTCATATGTACTCCACACTTGTGCACCCCTACTCGCTATCGCTGGCACGCGCACTACACGGTGTGCGACTCGTGCTACCAGCAGCGCAACAAGGGCTCCTTCTGCCCGCTGTGCCGCCGCGCCTACCGCGCCGCCGCCTACCGCGACATGATCCGCTGCACCGCCTGCCGGAGGTACTGTCATATGTACTCCACACTTGTGCACCCCTACTCGCTATCGCTGGCACGCGCACTACACGGTGTGCGACTCGTGCTACCAGCAGCGCAACAAGGGCTCCTTCTGCCCGCTGTGCCGCCGCGCCTACCGCGCCGCCGCCTACCGCGACATGATCCGCTGCACCGCCTGCCGGAGGTACTGTCATATGTACTCCACACTTGTGCACCCCTACTCGCTATCGCTGGCACGCGCACTACACGGTGTGCGACTCGTGCTACCAGCAGCGCAACAAGGGCTCCTTCTGCCCGCTGTGCCGCCGCGCCTACCGCGCCGCCGCCTACCGCGACATGATCCGCTGCACCGCCTGCCGGAGGTACTGTCATATGTAC